CAGTGATCTTCCTTTAAGGAAAGTTTCAGGAAGATTGTCCCAGCCATCTCCGAGAAACAGCCTGGATAAAAAAAACATGCGTACAATATCAATATGTCGTCCCCGACTTCGTTCGGGGCGACATAATAATAAGAAACAGAGTAAAAACAATATGTTCCCAAACTCCGTTTGGGGAACATAATAAGGTTATTATTCTTAGCCCAATCTATAATATCTAATGAAATGACTTCTATGGCCGTCATAAAGGGCAAGTATAGTGTCGGACTGATCCCGACCCTGAACATACTTTAGAAAGTGATTTTTCATATATGAACGAAAAACTTCAGAATTTGACCACCCACTAGGTGTCATTGTTCAGTCAGCACCAACAGATTTCCCTTTCATAAGTTCCGGCATCATCCGCTGACCTGGAAAAACAAAGTATGGTGGGATTTGATTTCCTAGTGCATACTCAGCACCAATTACTGTAATTGTTTTACTCTTTTCTGGCATATCTGCTTGAGGATGATATCCTCTTCCTGCTACGATATTAGGGGGCTTAAACTCTGTATTCATTCCCTTTTCATCGATTTTATATATCAAATGGGGCTTGTTCTTTAAGTTGTATTTGTCAAGAATTGATTCGAGTTCGCGGAAATATGATTTTATTGAAGTTCCTGACGCACATCTGGCCCTTAATTCCGACAAACTTGATGGTTTAACAACCCTTAATTCTGGCCATCTTCCCATAAAACTGTAAAACCACTGCATGCTTAAAGATTTTTTATTAATGTGTTTCTTTCAAAGGTGAATGGAATAATCTGTTGCCATACCGAGTACTTCTGCCCTTGTGTAGCCATAACGAACAGAAGCTAATTCTTTCAAATGATTTACAAGTTTGGCCTCCTCAAATTGAGACAGAAGTGGTTCTGGACCAGTTTTAATACAGTCAATGTCAACCCTATTGTCAACACAGTCTCTAAGAGTTGTTAATAGAACAACATATTCCTTGGCTGCCCTATATACAGGAACTCCATTCTGTTTCACAGCCTGATACGCCTTGACAAGTGCAGAAGGGAAATAACATCATTTTCTTTTATTTGTTACTGCCTTAAATGACGTTATTCACACGAATCAGCTAATTTTATGACGTTTTAGAGCTTCCATACATAGAAAAACTAATAGTCACATGATTAATTTAAATACCAAAATACGTCACCGGAAGTGTATTTTATCAGATGATGGGCTTCTTTAGACGCAGTGCGAATCAAAAGGGTTTTCAGGCGATTTTGAAAAGTACAAATTATGGTAATAAGAAAAATGAGCATTTTTATCAGTTATTGCATTGTTTTTATGAAATTTTCCTTTGCACACAGCATAATTTTGATCTTTTGCTTATATTGATTTTGCGAGATTCCCTACGTCAGTTGTCCTTAGTGATTAGATATATGACGTCATTTTAGGGAAAATTCGCGCGACGAAAATAGACTATCGGAAACATATGACGACAACAAAAAGACAATGCTTTATAGTTGAATACAGAATTGATTTCAAGAATGGGACAGGATTTTTTGATATTTGAAATATCAAAAATCCTGTCTCATGAGTGAAATAAATTCCATTGATTTTCCATAATTATGTATCAGTCGAAAACGATATATTTAAAAACAGCTTGTAGAGAAAAAAGAGTTACATTATTGATAACATATAGTGCATATTAGAATAGAAAAATAGGGAAAAGGTGACTCGAACCCAGATTTAAAAAATAAAAAAATGGGAATTGTGCCATGGACGAGTGAACATTCCCCGCCGACCAGTCACACCCGCTGTATGCTCCTTGTCATGATCGGGAAATTATGGAAAATCCGTAGACAATTCAGATGTGAATAATAGCCGAACAAGTATGAAAAAATGTCCATCATCATTTGACTTCATAGATTGTACTTCCTGTCAAGGTAATTGTATTGACCACAGTACTTGCGAAATGATGACAAGGAGCACACGGCGGGTGTGACCGGTCAGCAGGGGATGCTCACTCCTCCATGATACCTGATCTCACCTCTGATGTTTTAGAGGTCCGTGTTTGCTCTGCTCCTATTTTGTATTGTTTTATGGACTTTGATATTGAATACTTTTCGTTATCTATATATCCTTCATTGTGTCCTTAAATATATTGTTCATAAGTAAAGCATATTCTTGCATATCGAATGAACGGAGAGACATAAACCCCATATGCAGTATTTATGGATACATTGCAACATCAGTAAGGGTAGTTACATCTTATTCTTTTTTATCGTTCCGTTACTTTGGTCTCTTTGGTATTTGATCTTACGACCTTCTGATCACGACCACTTTCTAACAACAGATAATTACGGAATTTGCTTAGTAAAACAATACATGTATAAGGAATTTGCACAGTAATGCAATTAATTGAATTAAGGTGCACAATAAAACAGTGCTATTTAATTTACCAAGAGTACCAGGAAACAAAGTGATTTGACAAAGTTCTACTTATTAGAAACACTTCACTTCATGTTTAGTATCAAAACTCTTTAATGTTAAAGTTGAAAATAATGAACAGTGATTTACATGTATCTTGAAAAATAATATACAACACAAATACGTGAAGAGGACATAAAATACATTGTCAGACCTCCGAAAATGAATTGATATGACTTGACATTCTTTTTATTCTGATCTATAAATAATTTTTGGTATTTAACAATTATTTAACGTAAAATGATTTATGTAAATTATTACATGTATATTATTTGAAATAGATACAGCAAAACGGAGATAACTGGTTTCAAAGAAACCCCAACATATTGTCTTTAATGTAGTCCGCAGATATTTAATAGTCGTCCACAAACAGATGTTTAATTAAAAAAAAAACCTATTGTCATAAAAGAAGATTTAAAATATCTGATCTAACAAATCAAATATGTTTATACGAGCATACTGCTGAAGATGTCATTTCTACAATAAACAAAAAGTTTTCAAGTATATCATTATTTAGATTTATTGATCTAAACAAAAATAATAAATAAAAAAAATCAGACAAATCGATTTAAAAAACAAAAAAAAATAAATAAATAAAAATGGCACATATGCCTTTAACAATATGAACAATTGAACAATAGCAAAATTAATACAGGTACATTTACCTGTAAAGTCCAATAGAAACTTTTAATTTTAAAAAGTCTTTTTTAAAAAGATTATTCTAAAATGCAGAGACAGCTCTAATGATATTGCTTACAATATTGTTGAAACGTTTTTGTTTTGATGTTTTTTCTTGCACTTAGTTTTTCGCGCAATAAATCAAACACACGTCGTGTGCAAACAAAAGAAATCATTATGAATAGACCTTGAGAACCACTTAAAGCCAAGAAAATATACTCTAGGATTTTATCTCTTATCCAGTAATTGACAAAAGCTATGATCCATGGACTTCCTATTAAGAACGATAACTTAGCCAGGACTTTGCTTCTAGAGTACCGTTTTTGCACAGCATCAATTTTCTGATGATGATTGATTCGACAGCAGACGACAACGAATGTAAGTATATTTGAAAATATGATAAGAAACACTGGTACAGCAAACGTGACCAAAATCATGATTGGGTATGTTATATAACAGACATCCAAACCATACCCAAAATTTTCTCCCTTTGATGACAGAGTAGAATACACTATATTTGTTCCGGTCAAGAGGATGGGAGTTCCATAAGCATACAAACAATATTTTAAAAGCCTCTTTGAATTGCTAATCATGTTATTTATGTTCAAACGTCCAAACAAAAGAAACATTTGCACTGAACACGCACTCATCCAGAAGAAACTTACTAACCAAAAGTAATGAATAAAAAACCCTAAGATTTTACACAGCAAAGGAAACTCGTTGAGTGGCATGCCAAACCCGAAAATAATCTGAGCAATCATCAACGACAAACACAGAAACATGTTACATTTGCCGGACAAAGTTCGTAATTCTGGACAAATGGTATAAATTGCAAGAGTGATTAAAAGACAAAATGCCGATAGACACGAAATTGCCAGAGATAAATAACCTTCAGGTCTGTAATTGTATGGAGGTAGTACTGCTTTTACCAATTTTGTACTATCCAACAATGATAGATAATCATCTTTGCATACTTGAATATACTCAGAAATATAATACTGAATAGAATCAAAACACACATTGAACTCACGTAGACAAAGTTGAGATATATTGTTAATGAATGTCTCATTCTTGCCAAGTCGAATCATCGGACAAAATAATATTTTCGAGAATGGATAGACAAGATCTGTTCCCATATTTCGTGAAGAAATCCAGAAATGTTTCACCCGTGTGAACCTACCTTTATCCAGATTATCACTACCAAAGCGAAAACGATATTCCATTCGAGACTGACTTCTCTTAAAAAAATTGTAAGGGGTACTAAGAGAGAGCAAAGTTCGGTTATGAAAAAGTGAAATAAGTTTTAAAACATATTCTTTCAAATTAAGTTTTGAAGAAATACGAATTGAAACAATTACCTTTAACTCGGACGAGTTAAATACATTTTGATAAATATCAATTTGAAGAATCCGAGAAAGTTTAAACACGAAAAATGTTTTGTAAAGTAATTGAGCTATTCTAAATAAAGATTTTCTCGAATATTCTTTTCTTCTTCCAGTCAAAGGATCGCGGTTAATGATAATTGTAGCTTTCACATTCAAAGTGGAATTGATATCTGCATAAACGCAATACCCATCCTTATACTGAAAGCCGTCTAGGCACGTCACTCTTCGGAACACATTCTAAAAGGAAAGAAAGAATATTATTTGAGTCATATTTTTTTCCTTTTCATCTCCCTTTTCACAAAAATTGTGCATACATTATCATTTAAATATAGTTTCCAATCTTGAGACAAAACATATATTTACCCTATAATAATCGAAAACATGCATCTCTTCTAGGTCCTCTGAAAAGTTTTTATTAATAGAAAATCTATCATCTGGATAGGGAATTTCTTCTTTGCTAGGTTCTATTGGTGTATTTGATGTTCTGATAGGAAAAGCTTTTGTAGGTCTTTCAGTGCAGGTATCTTTGTAGAATAGCTGACTATGGGAACAATACAAACGATATTTAGAAGTAGTTTTAGATGAATTCATTTGTGGGTTAGGAACTGTTGTTTGAAGCACTGAAAATGGATTTGTCGATAGATTGTTTCTTAGAGGTGTAGTCGGGAACAATTGTCCAGGATATTGTGAAGTGGTTGAAGTTTTGAGTGATTTCTCTGGCATGTGTTCTGACGACGCATCCGTCTGCAAAATAGAAAATATACTACCTATGAATGGTTAAATATGTAATAGCTTACACGTAAATTCGTTGAAATCGTTAATTTAATTTTAATAAATATTTAACTAAGGCATTTTTACCACAAAATGTCTTAGTCAAAACCCTTTTTTAAAATTAAGATGCTCATTTTTGCAATTTGTCAAAAAGAAAAACCATATATATTTGGGCGGTTATTATTTTTTAAGATTCATTTTTTCTTAGAATAACATGATAATAAAAATTATCAATTGATCGATACATACCTCGCTGCTTCTGTGTTGTTCACCCATTTTCACCAAATGTCCATAGGAGAAAGTGGTCAGCCTCATTAGAACAAAAAGAAACAATGCAGAAACTCTGATAAACATTATAATGTTCAACGATGTCACACCACAAGAAGAGAAATATTATAATAACATCATCAAATAAGCAACTTTTAGGACATTTTTTTCCTATGATGATGAATTCAATATATCTGTCAACAAATTCAATCTTCTTTAAAATACTGCACAATTCATGAGGATTGCAGATTCATTTTCCTGGACTGTAATGATATATTTCCTGAATAAATAAGGATCGATCTGAAACATCGATATTATAATCCTCCCTAATTTTATAATATGTCATTGTTCTTCTTTAAAGAGCTCTCAGACAGTTTTAAAATTTAAAATGTTTTAATGCAATTGTTACATTGTGGCATTGTTTAAACCTTGTTTCCCGACGCAGTCGGTGCGTGGTAGAATGGATTAGATTACAGAAGGGAAATGTAATACTGAGCATACATTTTATACTAAAAACAAAACAAAGTCTTTTACATGTTAAGAACGTTAACATTGTTTAAAAAAAGAAATAAATATTTGTTCAACTACAGATTTCTTGGAAGAATATTGTATATTCCGTTTAGATATAAGTGCAACAACCTGAGAGAAGAGTGGCTACAACAAACAAGAAATAACAAAAAAAAATCTTTAGAGATGTTATGTATTTATTTAAAAACTACTTGATATAATGGTACGATATTTTCAAATAATTATAACCAATGAGTCTTCTCAACAATTGTTGAAAGGAAATAAATTATCACCGATGAAAACCAATGTACCGTGATGAAGCATATAAACAATAAATCTGTATTTTGCCGCTCGTGTATTGTGTAATCAGCATATTTTTTTGACCATTATTATTTTCAAAAACTGGTTCAACAATAACAACAACAAGTAGAGCTTTTTAAAAAAGCTAACCGTCTTTAGCAACAACCTTTAACAGTAAATTGATCTACACCTATCAGGCCGTATAGTTATTTTGATTTTGTATTTCTACATTAGCTTTTTACTGGCATTAGCCCTACCACGGTTGTCGCTCGGTCATCTCCGTGAACTATGACTGCATGGCCGAGAGCTTCAGCTGAATCCGTTACCTTCATCAATAAAAAAAAGATAAAAAGTAGTAACAAATTGTAAAGCCTGCAAGATATAAAAATCAAATTTTATTTACAATGAAATTAAATAGAAATTTTTAGTTCTAGCTATAAAAAAATCATGTTGTTAAGAATTAATAACTGCTGATTTTGTTATTCTTTTTGGTCACTTGTTTAAGATTGAAAATCTTGCAAAATTCTTAAGTCGTACGAAAATAAGATCATCAGAAAGTCATCTCCCTTGCCTTGAACAGCATTTCAACTAATGAAATAATTGAAATTTTTTTCATCATGCAATTTCTACCAATCGCAAAACAGATAAAGTGCATAGTCCGAAGACTGTAAAAACTTCAACTATATAATAACGTCTTCCAAGGAAGACGATAACAACAACAGCAACAACAACAAATGGCAAAATGACCACAGAGGAAGGAGGAAGGGCCATTGGAATGTTGATACCTGAATCATCCTCGCACTACGTTTTACTCACTTTAATTTTTAGTGTTTATTTTTCCTTAATATTACTTTTAAAAATTAACCTGTAGAAAAAACACATTTCAACACATTTTTCTATAGGTCGTGCCTAATTTTCACTGCCATCTTATCACAATTTGAAAGCTTTGGAAAAATTTAACCAAACCGGAAGTGATCTGGATTTTCGTTTGAGGCCAAGGTTTTGCGCCATAACAAGTTTAAAAGATTGTTACATCAAATCACAACTTCAATGCTAAGAAAATGATAGGAAATAGGTGTTTGTGACAGTGTTATATCACCGGACACAGTCATAATTAGCCTTAAAGCACTATAGGCCTATGTACCTGCTAAACGCCAAAGGATATTGACCAGAAGGCATCTGTCTGATGATGCACTGCCAAATTCCGGATCTGAATCCCATTGAACACATTTGGGATTTTTATAAGTAATGTCACCCCCAATCCACACATTATCAATGGTATACAAAGATCGCTGCAGTAGGTGTGGCAGCAGATAGGTCAATCTCCTTTTCTGGGAATGCGGGTGGTTCTCGCCGCTGTATCACTTAAAATACCGCTATAATGAAAATTAACAAAATTAAAATTATGATATAGCATATAAATTGGAAATTATTATATTGTTGATCAAAAAGATTCCAATGCCAGGTATAATTTCCTATAATATCCTTTATATCAGTATTCTTATAAGGTTATATATGTAATAAATTTATACACATTATTTATTTATTTTATTATCCAGTTCTAAATTATTCCAAATAAGACGATCAAATTTGTTCAAATAGTCATAATTTGGCTAAAATGGCCTCACTATAAGTTATTAATACAAAATGGGATAATTATCCGACATATTGATAACACGAGATAAACGCTTGGGGTTAATTAATTACAAACTACTAAGTTATAATTACAGGTAATCGGGGGGAAGCCATTCTGTATACTTCCCATATCCTACCTGTAGATTAAATGGGGCGAAACCACTCGGCGCAATACCACTCGGCGCGAACACGTAATCGGCGCGAAACCACCCTACACCTTTTCTGGTTACATGATATCCATGAGAAAGGATGTCTTGCAGTTATTAGAGCGAGTGGTGGTCTTAAATTTGTTTTATGTAAATTTTTAATTTTGGTACATCATGTCCTTGACACTTTGCTTAAGATTATGACATGAAATTTACGCAAAATGAAATTGAAATATGCATCATTTACCGCGAATTAAAGAAATTATTTATTGTATGCATTTGTACATTAAAACTTCAAAAATGTTAGGTGAACATTTAGACGTTTGGTTCAGTGTATTTGTGAATATGTAAATGTCATAAAGAATTGAATCAAATATGTTTTTGTGAAAAAAAGTATGAAAAGTATTTTAAGCCAATATATAAATAAACAAAACCATTTTTTGACATGGAATATCCAAAAATAAAAGACAACACAAGTTTTGCCATATTTTATATATTTAAATGTTTTCTTTACCATAAAAAATTAGAGCCAACTTACAGCTTAACTGTGACAAACGTACTGCTTCTGTTTTTTCATCGTCAATCTTCTTTATTATTCTCATTAAAAATACCAAGGAACTTATAGAAAATCTAAAATCACAAAATTTTTATCAAAATCAATTACATCAAAATCTACTATTATTATCTCCATATACAACTATTCCCCATGATGGAATAAAATCCAGAGTTTTGACTTCAAAGACAGTTGTATTTAAATAAAATTTACTTACATGGACCTTGTCATTATTCCTTTGATAACTTAACTGATATTAGAAAGACTCGAGTTTCTGATTGTCAATATCCATGTAGTTTTTTTGGATGCATGCTGGCCTTCAAACAACCTGTGGGAATTTCCATGGGTATCAATTACGTCCTGTCTTTAGCATGTTTAGCAAATATATTTTTGAATTTATACAAATTTATTCAAATCCTTTAAAACTCTCTGTGGCCATTAGGTCGGCATTTCGATAAATCGCTGAACATCATTGTAAATATTTAGATGTTGGAGCAAGGTGAACTTTCAAGACCAAGCAACTTCTAGGTCATTGCGCGTCACAACATAACAATACGGAGGTCCGTTCGTGTTATGAATACGTTTTACTCAGAATCAATTCGTCTCAAACATAAAATAAGTGATAACAATGCTAAACGTTCACTGGGAAATGAGAGGTTATCAAGTAAGTTTTTTCCCAAAAGATCTTTTTAACATTGTTGTTTTTTTCTTAAATGTACATGGTAATTGGTAATTTCATTTTGCCTGCTGCCCAATACCATTCACTTTTATTTGTGAATATACCTGTAACATTATCTTTAGTTTTAGTTAAGCTTTTGATTCTGATTTTATTTATTTTTTTTTTTAAATTTAGCAATAGCTGAATGATTCTGAAAGAAGGGAAGAGGAAGAGATCTTACCTCTATACCAATTTATGTAATTAATTTTGTTTACCGTTTTGCACACCAGGTTCAAATTTGATTGATGGTGACCTTGCCATGTGTCCTATCATTGGTAATGACTTGCTCAATAATTATGCACACAATGGCAGTGTCATCCAACCATGAAGCATGTGCTTGGTGCGTACCAAGTGAATTAGTAGCAGCAAAAACCCTTCGTTTGAGGCGGAACATGTACTAATGATTTGATGTCTTGATTTCAAGAAGAGGAGAAATTGGTCCTTGACCCACTATCTCCCTAAGGATACCATGTTTGGACAATTGGTACTTCGAAATAAAAGTCTGTCCTTGAATTAGATGTTAAATGAGATGTTGCAACTATGGACTCTTGGAAAAGAGACATCACAAAGATACCAAGTACTTTATAGAGAACTTAGATTGAATGATTTATAAACATTTTCATGAAATATATTGAGAAATCGAACAGTTTTTTAAGCTCAAAAGTCATCACAAACAAAACAATTCGAAGCAGAGCAAACACTGGCCTCTAAGACATAAGAGTCGGGATTAGGTGCCATGGATTAGTGAGCATCCCCTGCCGACCAGTCACACCCACCGTGTGCTCCTTGTCATGATCGAGAAAGTATGGGAAAATCCGTAGATAATTCAATTGTAAATAATAGACGAACAAGTATAAGACAATGTCCATCACCATTTGACTTAATAGATTGTATTTGCTGTCAAGATAATTGTATTGACCACAGAACCTGCAAAAGGATGACTATAACGAGACTTTTGAACTTTTTGTTCATCAAATTGGTAATCGATGGCTTGTGTCTTAAAAAAGTGTTCTTAAGTAAAGCATGCTCTTACATATCGAATCAACGGAGAGTTTTGAACCCCATGCATATGTAGTATTTATGGATACACGGCAATATAAGTAAGGGAAGTTTCAACTCATGCTTTTTTTTATTGTTTCCTTACTTTGGTCTCTTTGGTAATTGATCCCACGACCATCTGATCACGACCACTTTCTAACAACAGATAATTACGGAATTTGCAATGTAAAACATTAAAAGGAATTTCCATTGAT